GGGGGGGGGGGGGGGGGGGGGGGGGGGTTCACTGCTCTGAATGCCCCCAACCCTCAGGTCTGGCACATGGCATGAAGGGTATCATTTGAATTGGGCACTGTGAGCTGGGTCACACCATCCCAGGAGGGCCACTGACATTGAGTTAGAGAGACTGAACATAACCCAACAAGTTAAATCTGTCCCAGAGCGGCAGGGAGAAACCGATTCACCCTGTCCTCTGAGCCCCACTCTCCTATCCAGAGTCGGGGGCGGGGAGGGGTAGGATAGTGTCATGGGTGCCTAGCACATTGTGAGCGTGGCAGAGAGGAGCTATTGCTAGTTTTGTCTCTTGAGGTAGATCTTGCACACAGGAAGCTACACAGATTGCCGGTGCCCTACAGGTAAGCTGTAGCTGCCCCCCCAGGGGAGGATGCAGAACTGCCCAGTTCCCAGTAGGGCCCTCGTGCCCATGGATGCCCGCCCGCCCCCCCCAGCATCCACCATGCTGACCTCTCCCCTGTGATCAGCACTTTGTTCCATCACGTGTGGGTCGCCCATGCCGTGGCGTTTGGTGGCAGTGCATCTCTCACTATTGGGCCTCATTCCTCAAAAACGTGCTATGACTTGCTTATCACTCTATGGCCAAGGATGTTTCAGCTCAGGACTATGGGAAGTACTGTCAGGAGCATTCCTGTAGGTGTCTTGGTGAACAGAATTACTTACCGGTTTCTCTGGGGTGGGCAGTGGCTGTCGTCTTGTCATAGCCCATCCTCTCTCACACTTTGGAGCTGGCTAGCTGTGAATTATGTGACTGGAAAACCCTTAAAGGCCCCATTATCTGTGTTCTCAGGGCTTCTGCCTGTGACACCCAGAAACCCATCCTTGTAGTTCTGGACTTTTCTCCCCCCTACTGGCCACATGGGGCACTGCACAGGAATCCGGGGTCCAGAGACCATGTGCAAGTTGCATGCTCATGATTCAGGAGAATTGGGTGCACATGGAGCTGCAGTGGCTGCCACATTGCCTGCCCTCACTGGTCCTCTCTCGGGGTAGAGAGAAGCTCACAGTTCTAGTATATGCTGACCTAGTAAAGTCGAAGCAAGAATCCAGATCATTCAGGTAGACCATCTTTAGTAAATACATTAATATATGCGAAGCCTTTAGCATGACACCTGGTACCTAGTAAGAACCAGCTCCCGCCAAACCGGTTTGGCTCAGTGGATAGAGCGTCGGCCTGCGGACTGAAAGGTCCCAGGTTCGGTTCCGGTCAAGGGCGTGTACTTTGTTTGCGGGCACATCCCCACTAGGAGGTGTGCAGGAGGCAGCTGGTCGATGTTTCTCTCTCATCGATGTTTCTAACTCTCTATCCCTCTCCCTTCCTCTCTGTAAAAAAATCAATAAAATACATTAAAAAAAAAAAAAAAGAACCAGCTCCCATAGCTACAATCGTTACCATCCTTGAAGGGAAAATTCCACCTGGTTTGCAGTCACTCTATGGTTTGCAGGTCACTGCTTCAGAAGCTGGACCTCTAGGGAGCATGTGTCTGACCAGTGATGTCTAGCCTCCCAGGAAGTCCTTAGCATGACCTGTGGGTGAGCCCACCAGACAGGGCTGGGATGAGACAGAATCTGCTGCTGCTGCTCTGGGCGCTCCCACTGTGAGAGCCCCCCTGGGGCTTCAGGTTCCGGCATCTTCCTAAAGACATTTCTTACCCTCTAATTTTTGGGGTCTCAAGGACCCTGGCCAGGGCCGAGTAACTCCCCAGCGTCCTGGAGGGTGGTTAGGACTGATGGGTGGAAGAAAAATCCATCCTGCACCCACTACTTTGTCCAGCTAGGAGATGGGTCATTTGATAGAAGCCTTGCTTGTGAGGCATTTACTTGGCTAGTATGATTAAATACAGACAGATGAGGAATGTGGGGGGAACCTGACTTTTGTAAAAACAAATTTCAGTAGAGAGAGCAAAGAGCTTTTGTTCAGCCTGAATACATAATGTGTTTATAATTCTGTTGCTGTTGCAAACATCCACCCCGCCACCACGCGCCCGAAGCAGTTCCTTTCTGAACTCGGGATACAGTGCAAGGTCTGCAAAATTCCTGTGTCCTGTTTTCCTTGAAGAGATTTACTGTGTTCCCAGAGGAATGCCTTCCTTTCCAGAGGACACATTGTTGAAAATGTTGACCCCTTTCTCCCACAACATTTGTCTGACTCTGTTTCCCCTCGGCCAGTGACCCGATCCCGTGGATCCCTGGCTGATGGGAGGAGGGCTGAATCATTCTGGCAGGGAGGGGCTCAGCTCCCTGGGCTCAGATTGGCTGCTGGCCATCCTGCACCTGAAGAGTGCAACCTGTTGTCTGGCCGACCGGCCTAGGCACTCTCTCCTTCACTCCACTCAGCAATAAAGCAGTCTTCCTCCTTGGCCTGCCTGGCCCCCAGGTGGGCCCGGAGCTGCAGAAGGGGCTCATGCATGGGGCCCAGCCCACCCAGGTTCAAGTCCAGCTGACTGTTTGGTAGTCTCAGGCCTCTGTTGGTCTTGTTTCCTCATTGTCATAAGACCCGTGAGCCGTCCTGCCCCCCTTCTTCACCAGAACCTTCTGAGGTTCTGAGTGTGGCTCTGTGCAGAGACCCAATGAGGACGGCCCTACCATTCAAAGCTCACTCTGTTCAGGGACATCAGACACACAAGAACAGGAAAGCGGCAGACGGGCTGATGGGGATGGAGAGGAGGCTCTCCGGAGAGTGTGGTGGATGAAGGCACAGAGTGTAACAAAGAGACTGCTCTTCGGGCCGGGGCTGAGATCTTGGATGTGGGAGGAGCTCGGACTACCCCTGTGCTAGAGTTGGGGCCCCACGGTGCTGGGTAAGCTGCCTGGGTAAGCGGCCTGGGCCTGCGTGCCATCTAAGGTGTCTGGATTCACTCCCAGCCTTTTCAGAAGGGGAAACAGCTCAGGTGGGCATTTCAGATCCATGTGGCTGGAGCAGCTGGAGCAGGAAGTATAGGTGGGAGGGGCTTGGAATGGGGAGGCCATGGAGAGAAGCAGGTGGGCAGGGTAGGCATCGGGCACTTTTCAGCTCAGGACATACCTGCCAGCCGCCTCCACCTACTTTTGCCTTTTTCTTTTGTCTGTCAGCCTCTTACTTATGACACCCTACAAGGTCCAGCCCCGAGATCAGGCCATTCCCAAAGCGGAGCAGTTTTTCCAAGGCTGGAGGGTGAGAGTGGAGTGCGGAAGGCTCATCCCTCATGCCCAGGTCCCTTCTGGAGGACACACAATGGGGCCCTTGTGGGTTTGCTCGGGCTGTGGCATCCGGTGGGAGAACAACTCGTGTCTCCTTGAGCAGTTACACAACAGATTGCATAATTGTGCAGATAAAAGGTTCCACAAAAACGCTGCCTTGCCCTCCCACGTTGTGTCTGAGCAGGATGCCCTCCGGTAGGAAGTGACGGGAGGAGACCTGTCCCCTTCACCAGGGCCTGGCCCTCCAGCCTCCCCGGCAGCTCACACGAGCTCGCCCAGCCACTAGGACATTGTCCCCAAGTGCCGGGAGACCTGGTGTGGTTAGCACCAGGAACAAAGGCACTTAGGTCCTGAGTTGATTGTCTCCTGTGTCCAGTACTGTCCCACAGTTACTGGGGGTTGGGAGGTCGAGAAAGCACAGGAGATGCTGCTGGCTAAGAGCAGCCTTGCAGTAGGGAAGACCCAGGCAGGCCTGTGAATGACAGCATGCTCCCAGGGCTAGAGACTGGTCTTTGAGTCATTTTACAGTTTGCATTTGGATCTTAGGTTATTGGGTCGGGGCTCAGAGAAGCAGTGGCCTGTCCAGTCCCACATAGCAGTGTCAGCGACCCCACATGGCCCATATTGGTGGGAACCGTGTGCAGGGATGTGAGCTCCCTCGGGAGAAGGCCCCCCTCTGTCCCACCCAAGAGCTCGGTGTGGGGCTTCACAGGGGAGGTGGTGGGAAAGGCCCACACAAAGAGGCCAGGCTGGGAGGGTCTGGGGACAGCCCCCCTTGGGCAGGTCCCTTTATTTATTGGAGCCTCAGTTTCCTAATCTGAAATGGCAGCACTAGCAACAGCAGCCCCCAGGACACCTGGGGCCATCTCTTGCTGTTATGAAATGTTTCGAGGCACCTCTGTGGCCAGTGAAGGGCTGTCCTCCCTTGCTGGGAAGAGATCAGCATTGCAAGTGCTCCCGGGTCCCACCAGTGACAGAATCCATCGGGGATCAAGGTCACTCTGAGACCGTGGACACTGTAACAGCGGTGGGGCGAAGGGCTAGGGTTCTGTTCTCTGCACCAGGCCCTATGCCCCAAGAGACAGGGATGGGGCCTCAAGGCCCCTCCCCACCATGGGCCAGTCTGCCCCTCTGAAATGCCCACAGTGGAGGTCAGATGGTAGATATGGGAGCCCCACCACCACCTCCTGCCGCCCTGAGAGCACTTGTGGCTGTGAAGCCACGATAGAGGGAGGGTTGGTTGCTTTTCCTGTGGGTGTTCTTTGATAATTTTTAATTGACCCCTTCCTTGGGGCCTGCACGGCCCGTGCTAGTTTGGCATCCCGAATCATAACGGATGTGCAGTCACATGCTTTGTGTGCTGTGCTGCCCTCTGGGATGAAATCAAAGGCCTGGAAGTTGGGGTCTTTCCCACTCCCGCCCTCAGCTCACTGTACCCTCGGCGGTCAGCTGCACGGACAGAGCAGTTAGGGCCAGAATGGGGCCTGCACGGCCCGTGCTAA